ACTGACCTGGAGAGCATAGACATCGTACACATCGTACACATGTCCCTGGCTGAGAAGTGAAGAATTTAAGCATCCACAAGACAACACAACAATTCATATATTTGGACCGTCACATCGACCGTCCGACACGAGAACACTAACTTCTCATCGATTCAACCCCCATAGCCGTCCACGGTACTGCCTATTACTTCATCTCGTTTTTTCTTTCTGGGCGGTAAGCTGGACGGCAAGGGACTATGCTATTGTCACACTCAACTTGGTAATTATGCCAGGGGGTCTCCCTTGGCATCTTGATAGCTGCCCGAATCTGCAAAAGCACCACCAAGTTAAGGAAAAGGAACTTGACGAGAGTGTACCCGCGTTCTAACAGGTCAAAAGTCGACAAGCGCCGCCCACTAGTGTACGTGTTGCGTATTCCGGGACTCGGGCTCGCGGGCCACGGCATTTTGCTTCTGCATATGTGCCATGTATGTGCTAGTCCATCTATGATGTATGGGGACCCGCGAGTTCTGCAATCAGCATGGCATGGTTCATGTTCCCGCCGTGTGATGAGACCACCATCTGGTCCCGGTTGTCATGCGTATGTATAATACATGCATACTACATAGAGTAGGGTACCTATGCCCTGCCTATCTGCGGCCCTCTATGCGGCCAAAGGAACGCACCACATGCACCACACGCACCGCATACCACATAGACTGAAAAAGTCTTTTCGCGCGAAATTACAGCATTTTGTTTGGCAGCCCGTAAGCGCAAGGATCCTCTGTCGACACTCTCAACCCAGCAGCCTGGATAGGAAGCCACGCCCTAAACCATCTCGGGTCTAGTCGCAAGAGATGGGCTGAGTGGCTTATGTCTTGTAATTCCGAACCGAACAATTACTAACGAAACAAGGCGGTTTTATTTTTTGAAACCTCGTGGCAACGGGTAACGGGCAACGTGGGTGTCCGGCTTTCGTCAGTAATTGATTGCCATGGAATATGACGCCGCAACATAAAAAAAAAGGAAAAACAAAAGACTTGGCAGAAACAGATCTGCGGATAACTATCGCGATTTCGTACCATCACATACAACTTATTGATGGCTGATATTCTTACTACCCAGTCCATCAATAGGTTGTGTTGCATTCTCCCATTTCGAGACAAGTCCAAGTGTTGATCAATCACATAGTACTATGTAGTAACAGTCCTATCGATGATAATCTACAAGGTAGTCGATTCCCTAGGGCATAAAGGAAATAAGACCCTAACACGATGAACGAAATAACGTCGCAACATCATATTTCGGATGGCATCATCCCTGGTTCTAATTTACTTTTTAATGTCTCTTCCCCTGGTTTTCTCGTACAGTCGGAGAAAACGATAGCCTGTCTGCATTCAATGCAGGAACAGGGACCAAGGCATCGTGGAATGAAGTAATCTGCATGCTCCGTCACCGGGTCAGTTGAGATTATCTCACCTCATTAAATTGGCCTCTGCAAAGAATGCTTTGTTACCTGTCACTTTTCTCAACTCTCAACGACACATCGCCCGAGTCCAGACTCTGTTCAAGTACCTCGTACCAACAATTATCAGAGTCATAAGCACAGTGCGCTACATTAAACTCTGTGCGACATCTCGAATAACCTGATGGCTTGGGATGGCATCATTGCTTTAATCTAACCCGGACTTCATTTACCAGTGGTAGTCAACAAAATGATTGATACGCCACAGGCGGGAAGAATGACGCCCTTCCGCCACGAACTATCTATGGAGGACCCAAGTTCCGAGCGCTGAACGATCAAGAGTTGCCTCGATCATACGACATGAGTCCTGATATTGATGGCTCGCGCTTCCAAATACCCAGTAAGCGCGTGGCAGACTCAGCCAGATATTTGCTACAAGATACTTCGACTTATACGTGCTGATTCCACAATATCTATCAGGACGTGCCAAAATCGTCTTGCAAATATTAGCTACACCAATAAATGTAGTTGCAATACATAGGTTAGGTTAGGTACCTAACCTACCTAGGTACCTAAGTACGTACTACGGGGAAGACTATTGATTTTGCGCAGATACTTAGGTACTCATCTATTACGCTGATATTAATACGATATATGTGCGCCTCGTCTATGGGACGTTGAGAAAATAGACAACGAACCCTGGACCGTTATTTAAGTTACCCAGGAGCCTGGACTGCCGAGTGGTCCATATCTGGATCTGGAGATTGAATTGGGGGGCCGTTTTTCGCGTGCCTCCCTTGGAGATTCTCACCAGATTCTGGAAAATGGATTATGTATGGCATGCAGAGCACAGCTGCAGCTAATAAACTGCATCCTGCAAGCTCGGGGAACAGGGGTCAAAACATTACATTACAGTACGTGTTACCCATTGCAAAACGGCTTCGTGACCAGTTTAGCCCCAGCTTCCAAGGCTTTACAATGCAACCTAAAAACTACCTGTCACTTTTGTCGCCATACTAGGGCTATGGATTTCGCTAGTCTGGCCGGTCGAAGTGCGAATAAGTGCCATACGCATATATACACATATATACATATAGGCGCAGATGATCGCTATCCTAGGCGACATTAGCATCAGCGGTGAGCCACCAATCCACTTGCGCAACCGGGTTTCGTCTTGCGGGCTTTTTATGTGCGCATTATAGGTATATGCAGAAATATATTATGACGGTACATATTGTGTAGCACCAGCCATGACTCCCACGGACCCTGACGCTCTTCCTCATGTCTTATCGACACATGGCTGATGTGCCTCATCGCGTCTAGGACAGTACCCCCACAGCTAAGCAACGCTCTTGTGCTACTATGATGTACAGAGTACGTACTCGTATAATATCGTCATTGTTGTCATCGGCGTCAATGCCGATGCAGTGATACGTAGATTGTCGAAGACAATCGCTACCAAAGCATACCGCACGGGGATCTGCCCTTTTTGAGCTATTATTACGAAGCTTACACTAGAGAGCGATAGAGCGATATCGATCAATCACGACCCCGTTCAGCCCGTTGAGCTTGAACAAGGATTCGGTGGTGTACAGCCAACCATCGTAATTACAAGAGGTCAAGTGGAGCTCCTTCGCGCGTCATTTATTACCCTTTAGCTTCATAATAGGACAGTGCCCATTGTTATTTTCTCATCTCCCCTCCCCCCGATCCCTTTTCTTTTTAATCCCAGATAGGATGTGGGACTTTGTTCTGGAAGACTCCCTGGAAGAACTCCCTGGAAAAGAAGACGACTTACGCGCAGCAGTCTATGATCATGTGGTTCGTCAATTTGGCGGGCTTGTGGCTTAGCCGCGGAACGGCTCGAATCCAGCTTACATATGTATGTACAAATTTCGACCGCTTCGTTCGTTCTAGTCCGTTCAGCTAGAACGGTCTTGGCCAGATCCATCCAGTCGGCCAACGAGTCCACGTCCCCAGGTCTTCCAATTTTCACGGACAAGACGTGACCGCTTGACAGGCTCCCAATGGGGCGCATCTTTCATGCACACGATGCGTCTAGGAGCTGAGGCTCTCCTGAACAGAACTAGCGGGCTTGTAGGTAGTGGTCACAAGGGGAGATTCGTTCACTCACGATGTTCTACACCGACAAGTTTCCACTTACATACCTTACATACCTTGCCTCACTTTTAGCTGCACCTATGATGCGTTTCCCCAGTTTCTCTATCTACAACCAAATAGCTTCTTCCACGCCACCTTGCTATCGTGTATCCACGTTATTCGTAAGAAGCGGTCACCAACCCTCTCTAAATGCAGCTTCTACATAGCTTCGGATCGTGAACCCGCCTGTCTATAGTCGCTATTTTAGGCAATTGCTCCCTCGTTGGGACCACTTCGCCGGGGCTACGCTAGTAAGTCATTCTACAAATATTCGCGTGGCTGCGTGTTTATTTCCTATTTCGCACATGAATATTCATGCTTTGCGCCTCGTTGGCGCAGGGAGGGAAACTCAAGGTTGAGGAGTCTCAGTCAGGTGAGCCGGATAGTAGTATTCGGGTTTCTCCTAGTTTTCCTAGGCATAGGATGATGCTATTTTGATATTTTGATATTTTTATTAATTCATATGCGACTAAGCCAGCTCGAGTGGGATGCGGTATATTCTATATATGAAGTTGTCGCTTGTTCATTCCGTCCCATTCTCGAGATGATGTCCACTAGGATGGCGTTACGTTCTAGGTATAGCACACTGTTATAAGTGATTTATGTGCAGCTATACGTCGCATTTAACAACGGGTCGTATCCATCCGTCAAGCGAAGAAAAGGAATGGCCTTGAGAAATAGCCGGCAGGAAATAAATCGATGTCGGCACGGTTCGACCGAAAGCCACCGAAATCCAGACTCTTTAGATTGAAACACAAAACAATTAAACGAAGACTTCTCGGCCTCAATCCTAAATTCTCACGGCTATCAGGCCCGTATTCCGTATTCTGTATTCCGTATAATTCACGATGATGTTTGATGGGTTTTTATCATGCCGTGAAAATAACTTTTTATTTATTTCCCATCTTTTTAGTTGTCCTATAGTTTTTGGAGCGTCGACAAGCTAAAGTGAGAAATATTCCTACTCGTCGGTTCTCGTGGATGTGCTGCATTGTACAACGTGGAAACGTGGAAACGTAGGAACGTGGGAACGTGGAAACTCTACAAGCCACTAATAATAGGCTTAAAGCCTAGATCGTCAAAGAACCAATCGACTTACTAACTAGTCGAGACATCCGATTCCGAATTCGAGTTCCGCCCTGCCGCCCTGAAGCTTCCACCGTCCCAGCAAGTGTAGTTCACAATCCCTTGCTTGAAACCCGAGACATTGGATATCTGCTAAACCTTTCCCCGGTCAACCAACACGCTACATCTGCGCCACCAATTATTGCGCCAAAGCAAGCAATCAAACAAAACAAACAAACAAACAAACAAGGGGTTTTACTATCTACGCTCCGGACCCGGACAACTCAACAACCCGAAAAAAGAAAAAAAGACGGAGATAGGGAGATTCAATATGTCCGCCGCCGCCGCCGCCGCCGAAGCCAAGCCACAGCTACAACAATGGCACGTCACGGAGCCGTACTTACACCTCCGGTGCGGACTAGGCGAAGGCCCGTACTACGAGGAGCCGACTCACAGCCTACGGTTCGTCGACATCAAGAAGAAGCGGGTGCACGCCGTGGACCTAGCTAAGATCCCGTACCCGAACCCGAACCCCGACGTGGATCCGAGTTCGGCCCCCGCCGGCGTCGAGACCATCCAGCTCGACGTCCCCGTAACCGTCACGGCGGACATCGAGGGCGTCGACCCGCGCGAGCGCATCCTCGTCGGCGTCAAATACGGCCTCGCGGTGCTGGACCGCCGCACTGGCACCTACGAGTACGTCACGCGGTTCGGCGCCGGCAAGGACAACGAGCGCCTGCGCAGCAACGACGGCGCTGTCGATCCTCACGGACGCTTTTGGCTCGGCACCATGTCCGATTTCGGCTACGACTTGCAGCCCGAAGGTGAGCTTGAGTTTTATTCTCGTCGCTTTCCCGTTCCCTAGTGTTATTTCTATCCGGTCCCATTATCTTGTCGCAAGTCCTTTAGTGTACCTAAGGTAGAAGGCAATAAGAAATCCTCCTTTTACTTCTCCTCCTCCCCCTTTGTTTTTTCTACACTCGTCCCTTCGTGCTTGCACCAGGGGAGGGGTAGATAGGGAAAGGCGGGAACCGAGCCTTGTTTCATGTCCTGTGCCTCAAGGACAATGCTCGGGGTTGTTGTCCTAAGCCATCCCCGCATGGACTCCTCAAAAGGGAAAATCTGCCCTGAAAATTCCCGTCATCATTTTCCCATTCTTTTCCCGGCAAGCGTCTCTATTTATTATGTAATGCTCGTGGTCGGAGATGGGTCCGACAGCCCGGTTAACCAGCACGGCCGGGGCGATATAAGTCGTGTGATATATGTTGCAATTTGCACTGCTACGCCAAGTACGTACGAGGCATGTATGTACGTGCATGGATACGCGGGCGAAAGAGGGGCGTGCAGAAAGAGGGATAAGCCAGCCAAAAGAGAGGAGAAGAAAAAAACGGGAAGACGGAACGAGTCTAGGTAGTCTGCAGATGCACGCGCGGAGGTGGTAGTGCTATGCTACTTTACTTTACCATCGTTGTAAGATCGACGTTGGGGATCAGACAACACGACGTTTATATGATGTTATGTTATGTTATGCGCAGGCAGGGCAGGGCAGAGCAAAACTTCGCGAAACTAAATTAAACTAACTGACCAATTCCGTTCCCCCCATCCCAGGCTCCGTGTTCCTCTTCGACGGCACGCGCTCGGCGCGGTCCATGCGGCACCCCGTCACCATCCCGAACTCGGTCGGCTGGTCCCCGGACGGCAAGACCTTGTACTTCACGCACTCGACCGAGCGCACCATCCACGCGTACGACTACGACCGGAGCTCCGGCGAGGTATCTCGCGAGCGCGCGTTTTACCTACACGACGGTCCCGGCGAGCCCGACGGCTTCCGTGTCGATGTCGAGGGGAACTTATGGCAGGCCGTGTACGGCGAGAGCCGCGTGCTGAAGATCTCGCCCGAGGGAAAGCTCGTCGGCGAAATTAGGCTGCCTACTAAGAACGTCACGTGTACCCAGTTCGTCGGCACGGAGCTGTTTATCACGACGGCGGGAATGCAGGAGGGCGAGGGGACTCCCGAGGAGGTTGAACTCAGCGGTGCGCTGTTCAGAGTTGACGTCGGTGTTAAGGGGGTGGACCCTTTCTTGTTCAAGCTGAGCAAGGTGGCGGATCCGAAGTCTTGAGTTTGGGAAGACGATAGGCCAGTTTGGGTTGGGGTGAATGACAGACAATTTTATCACGCTCGCATAATGCAGCTCTTATATATGACCAAGGAGAAGGAATGAAGAAGCCAGCATTACTAAGGCTCTATTGCAATAGGATTATTAAGATATTTTACTCATTTATTAGCTTTATTTAGGCTTCAATGCGTACATGCGCACGGGGTATAGCTCATGGGGGAACCCGTGCTGTATCTCCGTCCTGATTATGCGCAATCCCGCCTCCTCGAAGATGCGCCTGAACGTCTCGTCTTGCCTACGGTATAACGTCGTTAGCTACGGTGCTCATTCATCTAACCTATAGTAAATCGAAGGAAAATAGTAAGGCGGCACTTTGGGCTTGCTCACTAGAGAAGAACACTTACCTCGTCACACTGCTGTCTTCCGAGTCAAACAAGTCCTCCTCGGACGCACTCAAGTTCTCCTTTACCACGATAACCCCTTTCGTCTTCCCATCGTCGCCGACACTGAGCACAGCGCTGCACCGTCGTAAGAATTCTTCGAGCTGCTGGTCGGTCAGGTGACCGAGACACCACTGGTTCCAGATGAGGTCGTATTCGGCGTCATCGTCAGGCCGCCACTCCTCAAGCCCGACGTTGTAGATTTGGCCTACTCCCGGCCGGCCCTCAAGCGCGCCTGTGAACTTGGCGATGGGCTCGACGATGTCGACTGTCTCTGCAATGTCGAGGAGTAGCCCTTGCGTTATGCGTCCGATGCTGAGACCGTTATTAGTTATGTGTTATATATATATATATATATAATATAAATATCAAAAAAGGGGCCAAGTAAGGGGAGAATATATATAGTCAACGCAGGCAACGAAGGTAGAGCCAACCAACAAGTAGAAAAGCTTACTTACCCTGCACCGCCCTCCATCGCCCTATTTACAGCCTTGACGCCCTTAGTACGGCCCAAGCCGAGCTTAGCTAGGAAGCTCCGCGAGCCTCTTAAGTCGATTCGTGAGACGGCAGGGTACCCGCCCAGCATGCCGTTGACGTCGGGGTCGATGCCGGACCAGTACTTGCGGCCGTCGTCGGCGCTGATTAGGGAGTCTGGGGCATCTGTATTTGTTGCGAGGGGAGCCATATTGTCTATAAGTGCTGTATCTCTTATTTCTTCAATTGGTTCCTCTAAGTACTTAAAAAGGGGGGTCTAGAAAAGATTTAGAGGTAGGTATCTAGAGAAAAATTTATAATGGCGGTTATAAGGAAATGCGGGTATTGTGTTATTGGCATTCCATCGCGTACTACACGTGCAAAGTAGGAAGAAAGATACAAAGCAGGCAGTTGATAGGGTATAAGTTTGTTTCGCAAGACTTGTGTTGGTTGTTTCACCAACAGAGAAAGAACACTACCAAACACTACCACAAGAGGGAGGAGTGATGTTCTCCTGAGCATCACGTGCGCCGGCGGGATTATAGTGGGCACTTGTGGTTGCACCTAAACTTACCTAATATAAGGACGGGTAGGTACATAAGGTACCCACCCCCCTATACACTACATACTTTCCCGTGTAGATCTCGTGTAACCCGATGTAATGCGCAACTGCCTAACTCGCCATCCTAAGGTAGCATTTCTCCTTCCTCTTGGCCGTTTCGAAACGAAAGAAATGGCCTACTTAATGCAGGTACCTATAAGAGATCGTTCTATTACATATACGTAGCGACGGGAAAGGGCGCTAGTGGAAATATGACATGCATATATGGAATCATGGATGTATGTACGTGCCTTTTAGCCGCGGGAGTATTTAACTATAAAGTACCTCTTAGTAAGGTATACAATGTATGTATAGTATACATACATTGAGTATGAGTTGGATATACGCATTTCAACCTTGATACTTTTTTCACATGTGAATACCTATGGTGAGTATTCCTTTATATTGTAACATCTGGTTGGCAAGTATAATACCTCCAAGTCCTACATTTATATTCGACAACTCAATATAAAAACTCGATGCAATTAACTAAGTAATTTAGGATCTGTTAAACCATAAGACTATTATATTATAGAAGCGAAATATTAATGTACGAGTAGTAAAAAAGGTAACATATCCTTCTTCATCAGTCATCCCCCCTGACCCGTCCCGTTATCCCGTTTTGTTTTTCCAATTTTCCCAGTAACCAACCCTCAATCATATATATACTCATATGTATAAGTATTTATCACCTTAATTTACTCCTTGCCGCCCCGGCCACCACCGCGGCCACCGCGACCACCGCGACCACCACCACGTCCACGTCCACCACGTCCACCACCGCGGCCACCGTGACGATACTCCTCCGCGTCACCCTCATCCCTCTTCTCTGCCTTGCTGCCCCAACCACCACCACGTCCGCCGCCGTACCCACCACCGTGGTGATGGTGATGGTGGCGATATCTCTCCGCTTCCGCTTGCTCTTCTCTCTTCTCGGCCTTGGCGCCCCAACCGCGGCCCCAACCATCACCACCATATCCGCCGCCGTATCCGCCGCCGTACCCGCCCCAACCACCGCCACGTCCACCCCAACCACCACCACGTCCGCCCCAGCCACCACCATATCCGCCATAGTGTTTGTCGTGCACTTCCTTGTCGTTCTTATCCTTATCGTTCTTGTCATCGTGTTCATCATCTCGCGACCACAGCTGAGAGTGGCCGTCCCTGGCCCCCCAGCCGTGTCCGCCGCCCCACGATGCTGCATGTTTGTCATCATGGTCCCCGTAGTCAGGGCCATCTCTAGCCTCAATTTTGGCGTCGGGGTTCTGTGTATAGTGTTAGTACGATCATATGAGAGCTTGGAGGAAAGGGGGAAAGGGGGAAAGGGGGAAAGGGGCTAACCTCAAGGGCAGTGCGCTCGTCGAGGGGCACGACCGCGTCCGCGGCAGCAGGTGCGGCCAAGGCGTTAGAGCCGAGGAGCAGGAAGACTGCTAGGAGAGACTTGGTGACCTGCATGTTGGTGGCAATGGGTGAATGTGCAGTATAATATTGATCTGTCTATTGAAGATTGAGATGAAGCTTGAGATGTAGAAAGATTATAGCCGAATATGGGGGAGATAAAGGGGCTTCTTATAGCCCTCCCGAAGCCCTGGCCTCGAAGGCGTAGCGTATAATCCCCTCTCCCGCCACAGCAGGCGAAAACATTTGAGTTCAATATTGACGACAACGATATGCCATCGTAAAGGCGTACGTGCAAGGACATCTATCGCGCCAGTGTGCAAAGCAGCTATTCTATGACGCGACTCGGCGTAAGTACATCAAGTTAATGATGGAATAGTCTCATCCCCCTATGGTATCTAGGATTCCATATGTAGTTGGCGTGTGTGGAGAGTCCGTATAGTAAGTATGCATTCCTGAGGCATCGAGACTAATTCGACCCAGTTGTTCGTCACCATTCCCGCGGGAGGGGGAGCCAAGGCACTTCCAGGAACCGCCCAAGACAGCGGTGCCGGGTGTTGAAGATCGCCTCCCGCGGGCAAGACACCAGTGGGGGACTATTATTAATTATGGGTAATCTTCCGCGACATCCGCCAAAGCTTATTGAAGCTTATACTTGTTTATTAATATAGATTGTATGAAATCACCACCTCTATAACTTCGTTGTGGAACAAGGTGACTCCTGGTAACGTAAACTCAAAGTATCGGTCCCGAGTCTTTGCTCGCCTACATACTGTAGACTTCCATCACGTCTAGAGAGTTGGACTCGCATATAAGTCGGGCCATGACGTGAGCATGAGGACGTTAGATGCAGAACCAATAGATCATTGAAATCCTGGGTAGGAACCAGCTTCGGAGATAAGTTGGGCTTACAGTTCCCAACACCGGCGAGGGTCAATGGCCTAAATATTACGGTTCCAGTTAGTAATATTGGTTCTTTCTTCAAATCCCTTCAAATCCCTAGTCTGCCATTGTGAACCCCTACTATAGACCTGCTATTTAGTTGCCTGAATCATGTTGGGATTTAAATTAGCACTTGTCGAGTGAAAGTGAGGAGTAAGCTCAGGTTAACAAGGATTCCAGCTTCGACCAGGGAACAACTTTTGAATTGAGTCTATGTATCATTAGTATTTCTAAGCATGCAAAATACGCCACGAAAGGGTATCAATCCCGGTCTAGGGAAGAGAGCCGTATGAAATTTGCTGTTAAAGCAGCCAAAATGATGACGCGAACCGAAATAGAATCCACAACATAAACAAACGTAGTGCACACTAGTAACTCTATCGAATCCCCATTAGTCGCCAATTTTGTGTGTACAAGTCTATGCGCATGGCCCGTCTATCGAATATGTAATCGTCGTTTTGGTGATTAGATGGTCTTGTTGTTTTGTTCGCCTATAGCACATAGCCATTGGCGCTAACACAATTCCACTCGCGGACGCCCATCCCTTCCTCGAGTTCGACACACCACCAGAGTACTTCTTTGGCTTTATCCAGCTGTCCGCTGTCTTCGTGTGCCCTAGCCAAGGCAAACCACGCATCGGAGTAATTCCATCCTGTACCTAATTTAGTGAGTCCTGACAGTAGCCCATAAGCTCTATCTCGAGCGGCAAGCCGATCGACAAGAGGCAAGGAAACGGCTTTGTAAGGGGCTGGAAGCTCCTCTATCGAAGGTCCGTCTGATTCAATGGTAGCTGATATAGCTGACGGGGAGCCTATGGTATCAGCCATACAATCTCCGAGTCCTAGTGGCGTTGATGGAAGCGTCGGAATGTCTACTATTTTGTGAGGCTTCCGAGGACTAGGGCCAGTTGATATTAGATTTGTCTCTTGGCCATCTGGTAGGATAATGTTAGGGATAGCAGGAGGCGGCAAAAGCGCTTCGCTATATATGTCGAGGAGGATGTTGGACAATCCAACGATTGCTGAAGGGTGGTCTGGGTAGTACATTAGAGCTTCCTCAAAGTAGTCCCTTGCCACGTAAGGGGTGCCTTCGGAGATTGCAAGATAGCCCAACTACATTTTGTTAGCGAAAAAAAGAAAAACATTTAGGGGTCATTTAATTTCATACCTCGCTCTGAATATCACCCCAGAGCTCTTCAACAGATCTTTTCCCACCCCAACCAGGATCCCGTAGGGCTATAGAGCCGCTCATATCTTTGGCGACCTCACTTTCTAAACCGTCCACCAGTTTTCTCGCCTCGCTAATAGCGCCCTGGGCATCGCCATACATTTTAGCACGACGATAAAACGCACCGATCATCAACCATACTTTTACAAGTATAGTCTGTCTCTGTCGTTTGACTTGTTCTTTCGGAAATTGCACTGTGGGTAGCAGATTGGGCGATGAAAGTGGATCAAGAACTAAACCATCAGATCCATTTGCAGAGCCTTTGGTTGAAGAAGCCGTAGAATTGAATCGATGTAGTCCACGACCTTTGGAAAACGACTGTTGCCTGGACATGTCGTTTGCGCTATTTGATGCGACGAAGTCTACTCGCTCTTGTGTTGCTCCATCCGGCATTGATGTATAGAAATCCTCACCATCTGCGACAGTCGGGGCTCGGGGCGGGCCAGAGCTAGTAGAGGCTCCTCGCGGCCGGGCGCTCGGCTCTCGTTTCTTCAGGCTGTTTCGCCTTGTTGAATCGCTACGTCCACGGGTGCACGACGATCTCCTAGACCGTCGGCCCTCACCAGCTTCACCATTCTCCTTGGTGACGTGTATGGCGGGAGCCGCGGTGGCGTTGGCGTTGGCATTGGCGGTGGTGGCAGTGCTAACGGATGTTTGGGTGGTTTGAGGCCTCTCCGGTAAGACGTTAGACGTGCCGCTCTCTGCGGGAGTGATATTTCTGAGATTACGAGACGTTCTCTCCGCCTTATTAGCAAAAATGCTACCGCGTATACTTTTGATTGTGCCAGCTGAACTTTTGGGGACCTCCATTGTCGCTTTCTGAGTTGTGGCCGGCGGTTTTGGTTGAAATTCGCCAAACAGTCTGTTGTATAGGACTAATAATTCGTGGCTTGCGTTTACTGCTACTTCTGGCCCTTCTAATAATTCTAGAAGGGCGAGTTGTGTCATTTTTACTTCAATCATGCCTTCTTTCTCGAGATCGTCCATTTCATCGACGAGTCCCCGTCCCTCGTTCTTCTCATTACGAGCTTCCACCTCGTTAAGATGTTCGCTTCGGAACGCACCTTGAAGATTTTGAGAGCCGAATAGGACTGTCGGATCGTCAAACTGCTCAAAGGCCCCCTCACAAGCCCTGGCAGCCATGATGAAATCTTGTCTGGCACTTAGAAGGAGCGCAAGGAGGTGCCATAAGGGTATCAACGAGCGTTCTCGCCAGTATGATCCAGACCTGGCTGATTGCTCTCCTGTTTTCCCACTGGACATAAGTGCGGCCCTAACAATGTCGATAGCCGCCGTCAGTTCTCGTTGCTCAGCCAGTAATAGACCGAGGGTGAATAGGGTTCTGACGTCTGTTGGATTTCCGTTTTCCGGCGATAAGGACTTCTGGAAGCTTCGTATGGCCTTGGTTTGAGTTTCCGTTCGTATAGATGCATCAAACGTCGTTCTAGCCCACTGCGCTTGTGAAATACCGATAGCTTGCCACGACAAGGCATACACCCGAGACGATATTCTTGGATGTAATATAACTCCGTTTCCATCCTCCTCGTCTAGCGTTGTGATATTATCCTGCGCCCTAGGAAGCGGTGTTGGCAGCTTCTGAAGCATTCCTTCCAATTCAGCTCCTAGCTCATGTGCCTTCGCCGCAGCATCTCTGAAACCATATTTGCAGAGAGCCGTTATCGCCTGGGAAATGGTTTCAAGAACTGTCGCGTCATCATCAAGACTCGGCTCCGGATGGCCTGTCTTGTCGACACGGGCTTTCCCCTTTTTGACGATATCTAGGTAGGAATCGAAGGCATGGAAGGCAAGATCGAATTCAGCGACTGAAAGGTGAACAGTGAATAGATACCGCAGTATAGCCGTAGAATGGTACGTTTTGGTAGCGGCTCGGTAGAGGATGTCTAATACCCCCCGACTAAGACCTTCCTTGCCACCGGGTCCGAGGTCTTGCTCGTGCCAATCACGGCCGCTCAGTACACTCCAGTTTCTCATCACAGCTGCAACGAAGTCTTCCACTTCTTGTCTCTGATCTTCAGCTCGTGGGAAGGAAGTTTCACTAAGAAGGAGACCCTCATAAGCTACTTCGACTTTCTTTAGCTCCGTTCGAAGCTGATTTCTAGCTGATGCCTCGTTGGTAACGTTTACGAAACCTGTTGGGAATGGCAAATCTTGTTGCAGAATGCCCGAAATGGCGGCGTAATATTCGTTCCATACTCTCCTTCTGGGTACGGCACCACGGAAACCATAGCCACCGGTAAGAGCGGTGCCTTGAGCCTTGGCCCCCTCCCAGTATTTCGCCCAGGAACGATATGGAGCTAGTGAATTGGCATCTTCGAGGGTTTTCTGGCCTTTTTCCAGGGCCTGAGCTTGTAGCATACAAAACTCCGTTAAGAAAAGTTCAGACCAGAACCGCAACTGCTTCCGTCCCTTCTGTTCCGACCATACATGTGATAAGGAGGTTAATGCCGATTCGAAGATGGCTAGTGCCGCAACCCTCTCGTCGTTTCGCTCAAGGCAATTGGCCTTGAAATATGTAGCCTTGAGGGCACACACCCACGACCATTCGGAGATGTTATTTGGCTGATCGAGCTGGGCTAACTCGCTCTCTGGATTCTCTGGTAACTTCAGAGCGGCGGTGCTATATTCCCCAACGGTCCAATAAAGCCATCCAACACATACTTGGGCTTGGTATTTATCTTCAAGATAAGTTGTCTCGACATCGATCGCACTAAGTAATCTAGGCACCAATTGGGCGACATCTAGATCCGCAGCAGAAACGGCGGTATTTGGCCTGGAGTCAGGGTTTTTCTTCTGCGAAGCTTTGATGATAGCATGCTCGGTCTCGGCGGTTGTTGTAAGGCCTAGGAATATATCATAACATTAGACGGTTTCAAGAGGGAGTAGGGTAGTAGAGTCGTACATAATCTGTCGGTGGCATGTTTGCGGACCTTACGCACAAGCTCTGGTACCTCATCCCATCTCCCCTCGCACCTAGCATCTTCCAATCGTGCTACGTATTGGGCTACCTTGGCCGATTTCTATAACAACTTAGATGAGCAACTATGGTTATGGCTGCTAGGAATAGGAGGGAATAGGAGGGGGGAGGGAACTAACACTCATCCTGACGATTCGAGGCCTGAGCAAACGCGGTATTGGTTAATGGGACTCTCGCATATCATATCATATCGGCCGAGTATTAATTATAGTGTGATGCTGGCGTTACAAGTTTGTAGATATCATATGGCTCGGACTGTTGGTTACTAGGTATGTAGGTAGGCCCAGGGGTCAGGATGGTATTGAAGTGCTACCTCCTAGGTGTAGGTAGATGGGCCTATGTAATAAGTGAACAAGTCTAGCTGCGTCGTCGCGGCCAAGTAAATTAAACATTTCTTGGCATAGTAAGGGGGAATATGTCATGATCCTGTTAAAAGAATATTGCTTCACTTGATTCGTAAGTGCTTTTGGTTTATGCAACTAAAAGGGATGGTGGGTCACAACCAAACAACCAGACAACGTGCAGATACTAACTACGGATTAAGGTGGGATTGGTTATGTCCATAGACCCGCTAAAAAGTTTATCGATAAGAATAAAAAGTTCCATGAAGCTTTCATATGAAGAAAAGCTTGAGATGAAATTCCTATCCTGTTATACATCCATTTAATAACCAATGAATTGTTGATTATTTAAGCGACTGGCTTTGTCGTATACTTCCCTACTTCCCTATCCAATAGGAAAGTTCAATTGTACATACAGAGTCCGTACAGTTAGCTCATGCGCCAGAGCTATATATACAGGTTCAACCATTCATGAATCTTAAGATTTAGTTACATGAAGTAGTTAAGAGCTCTGAGCTGCTGAAGCCGTTAAGAAAAAGGTGTAACACAAACACGTACGGCTATTTTCGCCCAATACTCTCGATATTCTACGAACTCCTAATTAGACAGGAGCTGAATTTCTAAGGGCGCCTCGCAAAACCATGGCGTTTTCTGCGCTCCCTCCCGAACTACGCAGTCTCTGCCGGAGATTGACGGCGACAAAAGTAGAGCAGCTTCCAGCTCTGCTACCCTCTCTACTTAGAGACTTATTACGTTGCAAAGAACCACTGTCAAGGTCATATGAGGCGAAGGCGTCTGATAATTCCTCTGAATCGACTGTGCTCGTACATAAGCTCAAGACTCAGATATCTACACTTCTCAACAGTAGAACCTCCCAGGGCCGCTTCGTCGGAGTGGCACTAGTAAAAGCTATGGTAGAAACTGGTGGTTGGGAATGCCTTCGAACATCCGAACCATGGGTCCGAGGACTTCTATCTATCCTTCAAGTAAGTTTTCATAGCTCCTAATGCCAGTAAAGTTGCTCACAATAAAACAGAGGAAAGATCCAGCAGTCATTAAGGATCTATGTGTTGTGACCTTAGTGAAGATATATACTCTAATGCATGCCTACCCGACGTTGATTCGGGAGATTGTTACACCTACTCTCCCTACATTTGGAACGGCCTGCCTTCAGATTTTGAAGCCCCCTGCAACCAGTAAAGTTGCTAAGGCACCTAATAGCCTCATCGAAACAATATTTGAAGGTTTCTCAGTTATCATCCCACTATACCCTACTACTCTACGTCAGTTTGCTACCAAGCTCAGGGTTGAGACGCGATCGTATGTTGCCCCAACCGTCTCGGACGGTACAATAGTTCCAGCTTCACTACAGGCATGCAGCAGACGTCTTGTTATCAGGTTACATATGACAGCCGTAAAGGGCGGAGACTCGACTGAATGGACGAAACATCTAGATGGGATAATCACTACATTCCATGCTACAGCCGATCAGGTCTTACGGGCAATCCAAGAAAACTGGGAATCGGTGTCGGGTCACCCATTAGAATCTACGCTGCAACGGGTAGATTTCGATAAAGATCCCCAAGGCGGTGGTGACAGCCTAGATCAATTGCCTCCCTGGACTGGCATTTATGCGGGCAGCGAAAGATTGGTCGGTCTACTCGATTTTATCTGTGAATATCTGCGATGCTTTACAAAAACGACAGTCACCATACCAGTCAGCGCAATAGTTGATATTGTTACGAGAATATCCTCAATCATGCCACCAATTCCGGGGAAGGAGAAATCCGCATCAATTCAGATGAACCCAGCTGTTGGTAGAGAGGAGAAAGACGAATTATGGACAGTATTTCCGGATATTCAGCTTGCTGCGATGAAGTTGCTATTTGTTATGACGCAGCGGCTAGGAAGAAATTTCCTGCCACTAGCTCAAACATCACTTGAACAACTATTACGAATGTTTGAGTCCAGCTATCGTCTACCTGAAATTCGGATAATAGCCTTCCTCCTAACCAAAGAGATTCTTCAGCTTTGCGGGCCAACAATGGAGAAACTTACCGTCGAGGGCTTAAGCCTCATCATCAAGGCATGCTGTCGCGACCTTTTGGGATCTGGCGGTCATCTCAAACGTCCTAAGCAATCGGCTGCTTCTATTCAAAATGGTCTAAAATCTAAATCCGTCAGTCAGAATGCCGACGCCTTTCTTGGCAACAGCGCCGAGGACGAATTCATATCTGTCTCGTTAAGTTCAGAGCACGTGTCAGCAGGAGCAGCACTCTTGACTACTCTTTTTACCCATGTACCTCAACAGCTTCTTCCTTCTTCACTTCGGGCTCATATGCTCAAAACAGCTATCTTATGCCAGATTAAGGATGCCCAGGTGGCAAGCGTATTACATCCGGTGCGAGACAAGAGCGGTAAGACGCCGGCAGTCATACTGCCTTATCTTACACAACAGTTCCCGCACGACGAAAGTGTGGAAGTACTGCGCTTCAACTTCCGACCTATGGCGACGGGACCTAGGAATGACGCTATGGACATCGATGAGGCGCCAATCGAAGACGCCTCGGAGGACGAGTCTTCGATGAATGGGTTTTCATTCAATCGACCACTTGAGACTTCTGTTCCTGGTCCCGCAGATCATACCCCTGCCGAAGCCGCCGAGACCTCAGCAAAAGCTCAGGACCTATTTCTCCCCAAGAGACCGCTAGAGACAGTTCTTAGATCTGAAGAGGAACGTACCACTGTTGTGCGACCACCGCCAACAAACTTACTCAAGCGGAAGAGCGAAGAGGCTGAAATTGCCATTTCTAAACGGGTTGAGATCGACACGACGGCAACAACGGTAATCAGCGCCCCAATACAGGCATCTATCAATCCGCCGAGCCAGGCTCCCAAGACCGGCAGCGTGGGGGCTCAAGACGAGGAAGACAGCAGCGATAACGAGAGTGTACACCTGAACATGGAACTCGATGCGGACGACGATGACGATGACGACGACGACGGAGCAGAGGAGAATTAGCGCGCGGCGAATAGGAGGCTGGCCCGATCACTCGTCATCCAGAACGTCGCACTCGGTAACTTGGCAAGCACGCCGCCTGGTTCCGGGTAAAAAGATCCCACATGGCTCTGTACATAACTACATACCTACATGGGGACTTGAGAGAAGATAGAGTTGGCCATATTTAGATAGTATATATTAATTGCCTTATCTCGCAGACACAAGGCACGCCAGTCGCTTGGTCGCGGGTAGTGACCACGTAATCTTCTAAAGTAAAGTCGCTTGTTGTCCGTGGGGGTTGGCAGGTGTTGCGCGCGCGAGCTGATGCCAGAGTCATCAGTCTATTGTACATATTGAGTAGCAGTTGGCATGATATTACTGGAGTACCTACCTACGTACCCGTCATCTACTCTACGATAGATACCCTGATAACTTAGGGTAATTTATACCTTGGGGATCTCCGGAAGCTAGGTAGGTAGCTTTCTACTTAGGGGCTCCATTCGTAGTGTCGAATTCCTCCGCATACGAAATGGAAATAAAACATCAACTAGAGAGATACTAGAATACACCGGTCATACGGTGTATCCCGAAACGGGTCGGACAGTTCTGAAAGTTTACGGCAAATAGAGACAGCTGTTAGATTTCAGAAACGGACTACGATAGGTAGTATACTCGGGGTGTATATATATAAGCGGACATATGAGCACCAGTAGAACCTTATGTAGTTCGTGCAATCCAGGCGGCGAAGTTAGAGCGTACATAGTACATACGTCTCGAAGTAATTTATCATTTGGGGGTATAAAGTATAATCCGAAAGCTAAGAAAACGCGAGAAGAGGTTAACTAACCCAGTAGGTCCATTGTCCAAGCGCGTCAAGGCCGCTTGCAATCCAAAACGAACTTAGTGACGATGCCTCTTTCTAGACAATGTAATGCAGACGTTGCTCGTCCCGAATATGCAACGCAAGATGACCCCTGACAGCTGACAGGCCATCTGCTTCCATGCGACCCCTATACGTAAACCGTATGCACCAACGCCGTGTATGTGACCTCGATGCACCATGCAGGTATCCGCCCCTCCCTCCTCTCTACCTAGTATAGGTACCTACCAACCCAATTCCCCAGGTACATAGCGTAGCAACCCACGTGTCTCTGCCTAGTCTCTCAGCCACGCCCGTCGTTTCTCTTCCTTCCTCGCGCGGCGCTTCTCTTTGAACTGCTTGAGCTCGGCCCTAGTCGGCTTCTTGCCGGACCGCTCCGCCTTTAGACTCCGTCCGTCGTGAGAGTTCGCAGCCGCGTCGACGTCGAAGAAGGCGTTCATCTGTCGCCGAGACTTCGCTTCGTCGTTGTGGTTATCGGGGTTCTGGTCGCCGCCTTGCCAGCGCCCGGTGAAGCGGTTGAACGTACCCATGGCCGCATAGGCAGCCGACGCGTCTAGTGATGGGTCCTGCTCCAATGCGTTCTCGGCGCCTTGCTTGGCGTACCAGGCGTTCGGATCGTAGTCGCCGTGGATCGCCGGATTATAGCCTCCAGCTGGTGGCCGTTCATTTTTCGGCGGTTCAACAGCGATAGCGACAGCGCTGGACACGGTTGCCTGTGCCTGCGGCGTCGAGTCCGCGGCCGAGCCCTTATTGGCTAGCCTTGGGTTTTCCCAAGTGGTCTCATGGGTAAATCGATTGTAAAAGAAATAGGCCTGACTTGTTGCGTCCCAATGGAAGTCCCAGCCGTCGTCTTCGGTCGCAGGAAGCGGTTCGTTCGGCAAGGGAGGAGTATTTTCCTCAGCGACAGGTGAAGCCTCGCCAGTTTCTCGCGATTGAGGCGATGCCGTAGATGATTCGGGCGCAGCGCTGCTTCTTTGCTCAGGAGATTCGGATGGTGTGGGATCGCCATGATTTGCGTCTTGAGACTTGGGTTGAGAGCCGGACAGGGGTTCATCCGACGCGTTGGTATCCTTCGCGTTGGTATCCTTGGGCTGATCAGCAGCCACTTGGGAAGAGCCAATCGACGTAGGCGAAGCTGACATGTTTTGCGGTTTGCGGCCTTGATATATATTTTTCTTTGTTTCTTCAATTATTCCCTTTCTATTGAAATGTTATTATAAGCGGCTACGACTTAGTCGATGAAGAGAAGTCGAAAAGGATACATTCTGACTAAGGAGTCACGACAATTGCGGCTTTGCAAGGGGGGTTACCGTGATTGAGTCGATTCTGAGACGAGGCCAAGTACAAAATGTACAAAATGGGCGATTAGTGAGTTGATGCGTCGGCATCGTCGAAGCTCCTTCTCCTTCAAGGGGATGCGAGCCTTCTGGAATTCTCTTATCGGTTATCGGCAAGGGGAATCTTCGGATGAACGGTACATTTAGGTACATTAGGTACCAGGCAGCTTCTAATCCCGGCCTTCACGTGCATCGGCATAACCCGGCCAGCGATCATTTCAAATGTCAATCTCAGATCTATCCGACATCCGTGCAAAACATTACCCAATTCTTAAAACACTCAAAATCAAAGTGTTACATCACACAACTTGTAAACATAACAGGTACCTATCTAATACATATAGGTATATATATATAAACCACCATGCGCCACATATTTTTACGAATAGGTATCAGCGAAGAAGCAAGAAAAGCCACGATGATAATAAAAACTACCCAATCTTTCAGCTCGCCTTCAATTTCTTTACACGGCAGACAAATGTGGCTTGAAAGGTTCATACGACAGGACCGGTTAATTACCCATGTATGCTGTACAACACACACATACGTCTCTCTCACATGAAGAATAGGGCCTCCCACTCCACTCTCGACGCTCCAGGCCCTCTAAATCTGACGAACGAAGACGTCGCCCCCAATGAGTGGCCTGTTCATATGTTCGTTAAGAACTCAAGACAAACCTTCAGTGGTCCTTCTTCCTTAACTCTAGGTTGACCAAATGCTCCGCCAAGAACCGATCGCAAACGGTGCTACGCCCCAAGGACCTCGAATATCGTGGGTAGCTCACCGCAATGTAACTGATACCCTCATAATACTACCTCAACACCAGGTAAACTTGACTCGTCGTATGCAGATCCATGACGAGTATAGTGCTTGCTTGGTTCTTCTTTTTTTGAGTTTCTGGACGTTGTTTACCTCCGTATCCTCAAATGTTTCGACACGAAACTACCAAAGTTACTTATTTACTATCATACGTACCTACCTATGATCAAAGTTGATTTCACTTGGAGTTTAATATAATTAATTACCTTGGTAGGTAAACACAGTTTCCGCTTATCCGCCTTATAGCCCAGGTGCTATGGGTACAAGTATATTTCCGAAAAAATCTCAGCTAGCGGCTTTCTGTTTCTTATATCGTGGCTCAACTTTGACTTTACAATAACAGCTTTCTCCAATACAACACGTCCGCAGCGTTACATTCACGCCTTTTATCCAACGGTGGGATCCAACGGATATTATCCAAACATACCTACATAGGCTAGATTAAACTTAGCTACAAGTATCGATGTTTCAAGTGTTGCATCGATAGCGTATGTCGCTGATCCAGCATTCCTTTCCTAATCTGGTACTGTTACCCTGAGACTGTTCTCACGCCATCGATTAGTGCACCGTTTTAACGGCTTCGTCTTCCGCACCAAAACCTTACCATAGCCTCATATTCGAGCCTGGCAGCGTACTCGAAAGCCTTGGATGATCTCATCCCTGTGTACGTGTCTCGGTGTATACTTTTGGGGATGATCGAGCCAATTACTATTTCTATCTTGCGTTCCCTTCTCCTTCAGCCTGACATTTCTCGCCTCTCTGGTTGCCAGCAGCGAATCGGCTCTATGAAGCCTTTCCCCCCCAATATACGACATTTTAATTACATGTGATCCTGAAGACCCTCAATCACAAGTTGAAGCTGGCTTTTCTGAAGCCGCCACAGACTCACCCGAATTTGGACATCGTCGCGCTGGGCAAGTTGGATAAGCCACGGCTGGGTTATAGGTGGATCTAAGACAAGGGCATCGTGATGGTTCACTCAAGGCTCATCCGGCCACTCGTGGTCGTCTCTGGCTTGACCCCGTTATCCCTCGCCGCTTTCCAACAAGTTAGCAACGACCAATGCAATTGCTTTCTCACAAATGGAAGCAGGGCGGAATACTTCAAGAGCCATAAGTTTTTTGACTACCGGGAGAAATCTGAGTATGCCACAGTGCCAGCCCTCATCGATGATCCAGATGATAGTAGTGAAGCCGACCCGAGTAGCGACTACTTCTCTTCCAATGAGTGGGTTGATAATTGGACTCTACAAAATTGGAATAACAAAGCCTCACTATCCAGCAACGTGAGCGATGCGACGACCCTAATGGTCAATTCGCCTAACAATGTCTATTTTGAGAAGAATAATGACCCGGATGCCGACTCAAGCACATTCCTAACAATGAGAACAGCACGCTTGAAAGACTTCCAGACGGCGTCTGAGTTTGAGTCCACGGTTCGAAATTATCATTTCCTATCGGTCAGAATGTATGCGAGGACAATCGGTGCGCCGGGTGCGGTAACCGCAATATTTACCTACAGAGATATCGCCAACAATACCGATCTCACCAAGGTTCAGGAATCAGATCTGGAAATCAGAACAATGGGTCCTCACGATCATGTCCAATTCACAAACCAGCCGGCAGATACTTCCGTGGGCCTTGAGGTCCAGGAAGCCACCCGAAACGTTACGATCCCGAAGAAGAGAGACTGGACAAATTGGACCGTGTACCGAATGGATTGGAGCCCGGGAGCTACGACTTGGTATATTAACGGTGACGAAGTCGCCTCCATCTCCTTCCAGGCACCCCGCGATCCTAGTCTTCTCATTCTTAACTCGTGGTCAGAGTACGTATTTTAAAAAATTATTCCCACTTTTGCTTTTTGAATATAATCCCACTTATGCCCCTGAGACCAACATTTCATTTGGGCTTTTTCACACCTGTTAGGCTCCCGACTTGTAATCGGAGATTTACGAAGTTTGTTATAAGAAAATGATATACTAACGCTACACAGCGGCGGATCCTGGACAGGCAATATGAGTGTGGGAAGGGAGGCTTATCTTCAGATCCAATGGATTGAAATCATTTACAATACGACCGACTCTTCAACATCGAAGAGAGATGACCAGGCTTGTGTTAACATTTGCAGCATCGACGAGACGGAAAAGATAGGTTTCCCAGTGCTTCTACAAGGCGGTGCTTCGAGCATCCTAGGGCAGATGAGAAGTTACGCCGGTATGGTCTCGTGGGTCTCTATATTATCTATGGTTACAGCTTTCTGGTAGATTCCATCTGGAATAGGGGGTGTAAAAAAACAGCATTGGGCCTTGGGAATGTCTCTATTAGTATACTGTAGATGTTATTCACTCTCAGAATGTACCTAGAATACTAATAACTTGTTATTCGTCAAAATACACAGCGAATATTTACATCTCTCCTCGCGGAAATATAATTCCTAAAAAATTGAAGTTCCCAATTTCTTGAAGCCACATGCTTGTACGAGGTGACAAGCTTTGGGCGTCTACTATCTCTATGTGGCTTTAAAGTATTTTAGGTTGCTCTAATTTACCCACGCCTTCGAAGCAGGTCTTGCGCAAGCAAGTCTCCGCCGTTTCCCGACGGGAACTTCCCCAGGAGGCGTGGCCCGGGACGATGACAACGTGCGACGTATTCTAAGTTCGTTTATAGTTAGGGTTCGAGACGCCTAAAGTGTCAGTCTTACTGCCAATTAATAGTAGTATGTACATTGCTCGGGCCCTGGAATTAAGTTATCATATTGCTGGTTCGCCGGTAGTCTAATTGGGTCTTTAGATCTCACGAGTAGGTATTTATCGATTTATCTTGCTTGATTGACTAGACGCCCATGTGAAGCTTGATGCATGTGATTATCAGCGGCTTTACCCCGAGATATTAACAATAAGAAACAGTCGCTTGGGCCTCTTATTAGCATACGTGATTGCTCCTATGGATTTGATATGAATAAGTTGAGTGAGTGTGCGGTCAAGTCGTAAGGCTAATAATGAGTAAGCGATATGTGCTCAGATTAGGAGTGATAATATCAATGACTACCTACCTAACATAGGTAATAGATATAGGTATATTAAAAGAATATGATTGATTTACTTACTTCCCGCCAACTCCTGCGTGCCTTTCGATCTAAATTCAACGAGAGCTCAATTACGACATGAATTGGAGATGACAGCATCAGATGAAGAGATGTAAGTGACTAGGGATCATTTAATAAAGAGACCAACTGGAAAAATCGTATGAAGAATCTTGAATCAGGTACAATACGCCTCTAAGGCTACCAAGATGAGTCAGTCTATAAGGTAGTTCTCACCGACATTGACGTCCTTCTCCTTGTTCCGTATAACGAAAGCTACCAAGAGACGTTGCTAATATAATAAACTATATCCATCGGCCTCCTCAAGTATGCCTATTGCACATATATATATACGTCGCCGTGGCCAGCTTTAGTAGTTGATTCCAGACCGCTCAATTAATTAAGGGCCATGCATTGGCAAGGTATCATTCTATTGTATAGTACAAATGCGTATCTGAAACCGGGAAATCCACCCCACACAACGTGGTCTTTAACAAGGACGGGGTCGACACACCATACGAGCAGCAAGCGCAAATCCTTGCTAATATCTCGTATGCTATAAAGCTCGATTTCGCAGTTTACATATTATGTTGAAAAACCCCAATGGCACGTTGTCAGTAAGGTATAGGTAGGTATTTACGGAGTTACCACTGTTCATACATAGGTCCATTGGATGTGTTGTTATATATAAACAGCATCGTGGTGGCTGCTGGGTCATTATAACTTCCACTAAGCTCTCAACGCCTGTTATTGCCCAAGAAGCGAAAGCAATAGGGGCTCCGTATGTATGTATGTGGCATGTAAATTAGCAATGCGACTGTCATGAATATATGTCATGTTATATACCTATGCATAACGATCCACCTCTCCACCTCTTGCAAGGTCATGTCATGCGTTCCGCAGGCACAACAAGCCTCAGATCTGGCTCCGAATATTGCCTATTCCGGAAATCGCGATGCTTCGTTCGAAAGGTCGTCTCATCGTGACATCCGGGTAAAAACGCGACCTGCCGTGTCCACAGCAAAGTGTCCGCCTCCTATATAGTAGGTACTGATACGTATATAAACTTGCTGTTAGTTAAGCTTTCCTTTCTTTGATTTCCAGTTCATTCCGCTACTTCGCCTCTTCGAAACAAGAACTATTTTATTTAAGAAGGGAAATCAAAGATGAAGGTATCAACCCCCCTGCTGCTCCTATCCGGGGCCCTCGCCGCCCCGTCCGACGACATCGAAGCCCGCCAGTCCTGCGCCAAAGTACACGTCATCGGCGCCCGCGAGACCACCGTTCCCCAGGGCTACGGCAGTTCGCAGGCCATGATCCAGCTGATCCAGGGAGCGTACCCCGGGACGACTTCCGAGGCCATCGTCTGTAACGTGCCCCCCTCTCCCCCTCTTTCCGCGCTCCCTCTGTCCAAATTAATCAATACCTACTGACGCATATACTTATCCACTCCAGACCCCGCAGCAGGCGGCAACGCCTACGGGTCCTCCGTGACGGCGGGCATCAAAGCCGTAGTAGACCAGGTCTCGGCTTTCGCCAAGAAGTGCCCGAACACGACCGTCGTGATGGTGGGCTACTCGCAGGGCTCGCAGATCATGGACGACGCGTTCTGCGGCGGGCCCGACGGCAGTAGCATGAGCGGGACGGCGGCGCCGCTACCGGCTGACGTCGGCACGCACGTCAAGGCTATTATTTTCATGGGTGACCCGCGCAACGTTCCGGGGCTGAGCTATAACGTCGGGACGGCGAAGGCCGGTGGTGTAAGTCCTCCATTTCATTTTTTTTCTTTCCTTATAGACGTAGCCATCTCCATTTTCTGAGCGATTAGTTACTACTGCCAGACTATATAAATACTCCGTCTAACCTCCGTGACTTTCCAGTTCGCAGCTCGACCCTCAGGCTACCAATGTCCCGTCTACGCGGACAGGATCCAGTCGTACTGCGACGCCGAGGACCCATACTGCTCTAACGGCAACAACGCGCAGCACCACCAGCAGTATGTCCAGATTTACGGCCAGCAGGCCCTCGCCTTTGTTAAGCAGAAGGTCGGCTCTGTATAAGAGTAAATCTATAACAACACATATATAGGTTGGGTACCCATCTGCGTGAATTAGCTACAGATGAGGACTGAGAAAAAGAGTATAAAATTTTCAATTGTATGGTTTAAGCGGTACCGGATAGGCGGGCTCGTCAATTCAAAAATCCACAAGTATATGTTATCTGCAGCTTGTTAAATAGGGGTTTATGATTTATAAGATTGTCCGGATCGCTGATGGAGGCTATGATATTTGAAGATATTGTGATACACGATGAATAATAGCCCAGTGATTGGAAAATAACAAGTTCGTACAGCATGTTCACTGGTTTCTCTTGATTTAACTTCATTTGATTCGCTTCCATGTGTTAGGAAATTCGTAATACTTACAAGTTAAGCGTCACTAAAGACATAATGACCAAGCAAATGCTAATAATATAGTCTACCGGTGCTTGCGTGCCGATATTACAGGTTTTATAGTTACAATGTCCCTTGCTCCAAGATGTACTATTCATAAAACAAGTCTGCCTGGTTCTACTTCCAGCACCGTCTTAACTCTTTGCAGGAATTCCTTGGCTCTCTTCTCCTCAGTCTCCGGTACAGAGAGACTGAATATATTAGTACCGGTGGATATTCCGGCCTGCGAGCTAGTGTTTCGAGGCTTTGGCGCAGGCGCCTTTGCTGAGCCTGCTAGGAAGTCGATAATGTCGACTTGTTTCTTAGGCTTAGGCGCAACGCCGGTGAAGGACGGAGAAGGAAAAGCGGAAATTTGAGGGAGATAATGGCCGCGAGAACCCTTCGGGCTAGCCTTGTCTAGTCCCAAAACTTGATTAAACAATTCATCGGCTGATGGCTTATAGTCTGATGGCAAAGGTAGCTCATCATTAGCTACTTCCGTAGCCCTCGCCACGAATGTCGATAACGGTATGAAAGTGCCGATGGTGTTCTCGATCTTCTTCTGAACCTCTATCACTGTCGCAAGCGATATCGGTAATGTTACTGTTGAAACCTTGGGAACGGGGATCTCTGGTACAGTCTTTTCTGCCTTCTTGGGGGCCTCCTTAGGAGCAGCAATCTTGATGTTGGAGAGGTCAAGGTGTGAATTGTGGTCAAATCTTGCTTTAATCTCTCCAGGTCTGCTAGAAGGTGCGCTACCAAGATATGCGAGGACATCACCCTTGAGCAGGCGTCCAGCAGGGCCCGTTGGCGTTATCTCGCTAATAGCAGACTCATCTAGCTTGTGCTCCTTTACTAGGTGCTCGACTGATGGGTAAAGAGGGTATTTCTGGGGCGGCGCCTTTTCTCCAGTCCTCTTCGGTCCACTGTCCTTTTTCTCTGGAGCAGCGCTCTGAGGCTCTTCTTTGCGCTCCGGTTCCTCTTTCTTGGCTTCCTTCTGCGCAGGCTGTTCGTCGGCAGGAATCTCCAGCGAACTGATGTCGTCGCCGGACTCTGCAACAACACCAATTCGGGAGCCAACCTGAATGTTCTTGCTTCCATCTCCCTGCGTAATTTTTACGAGGATCCCATCGTCTTGTGCCTCAACATCCATGGTCGCCTTGTCTGTTTCGATCTCGAGTAAGACATCGCCAGCGGAAAAGGAATCGCCCTCCTTGAGCTTCCAGTTTGCGATATTGCCTTCCGTCATAGTGGGCGACAGGGCCGGCATGGTGAAGTTTTGCGCCGCGAGCGAGGCAGCGGACGTGCGAAAGCCTACGTAGAGATCTTGTTAGCTATACACGCGAGAGCTTCTAACAGATTAAAATACCTCGACTTGCGGCATCTTGGGCGACCCGTCGGCTTATAAGCCGTGTTGTTAGGCGGGTTGCTGTCGCAAAAGATGCCATTGTCGGCTTCTTAAGAAGAAAAAGTGAAGCTCAATTGAGCCTTTTTTTTTTTGTCTTCCCTCTCGTTAAACGGGATCCTGGTTCGGAGCTTATGAATAAATGTTACGGTTGAGCTTGTTGGGGATTCTCCGGCCTCAACCGAATAATTATCGGAATTGGAAGGAACGCTATAAAGTTTTACCGTTTCCTGCCCCCCCCCCCCCCCCCGAGAACCTTCCCTGTAGGTAGCATTCCCGACGTTGAGGTTATGGAAGTGACCCACTTATTAAGCCTTGGTGACAGGGCTGGTATGTATGTAGATGTATTTTGGTACTTAGGTACGTACCTAGGTAGCTTAGCGTATCGATAAAAAATAATTAAGAAATTCAGCTCCACCAAAGCTCTATTCCGTTCATAGCATCAAATCTATAATCTATCATCCCACCTTCAAATAGAAATTTACTCGGCCA